CATATATATATGTGTGTGTGTGTGTGTGTATTTGTTTGCTATTTGTTTTAGCACACTGTCCCATTCTCAGGTCTAGATTTGGGGCAGTTGGTCCTGGGGACAGGTTGGACAGAAGGGGCCAGAGTGCAGAAGAAGCCAGAGATAAGAGTGAGGCCCAGGCCCCCCCACGCACAGAACATGGACCAGCCATAGCCATGGCTGATGTCGTCGGGAAGTCCGTACAGGTAGCGGGGGTAGCGGGAGAGCTCAAAGTTGATTCCAGCCACGCACGTGCACAGTGAAATGATGCAGAAGGTTCCTGGAGGAGAGTGGGAAGGGGAGAAGGAGGGAGGAAAAAAACAAAGAGAAGTTAGAAGAGTGACAGACAGACCACTTTCCAAGCCCCCTGAGAAGGGATCCTTACTGAGCTTTCGGAAGGGAAATACCTATGGGAAGATGTTCGTACAGAAAGTGGCTTAGTCTAGTGGCTCCACGGGGAAAGAACTAAGTGCCACCAGAGCCCTGAATATTGATCTGATGCTGAACGGAGCTGTATGGAGAAACTTCAACAGGAACAGTTTTTTCATTACAAGCACTCCCTTGGAAAGCAGAATGCTTTGTGAAACCATTGATTTTTCTGGAATTTTGCTTTAGACAAATACAGAGTGAATCATGTTTCAATATTTTTTTTTGGGGGGGGAATAGCTTGAATATTTTGTTTAATTTCAATTTTTCAGTGATGGATTTTCTAGAAGAAAATATTACAAAATACTTGACATACTCTGGCTCTGTTGAAATGTACATTTGAAATTACTTGGGATATTTTTTTCACACTTTTCTTATATCAAAATCTAAAATCTTTCATTATACACTCTCCTTTTATATACCATTGTCAAAATCTTAAAATCCCTCACAAAATTCAGATTCTACCCTCTGCATGACTTCAGTCCCAATCTAGATGCACTCTGCAGTCTTGGGGAAATCTTCAAAACATCCTGTTCTTGTTTTCCATCTCTGCAGCAATATTTCATTTCTTCCTGAGAGCACTGTGAGGACAGGCTTCATAACTCTGTCAGGTGGTAAGTGTTATGGAGAGACACACATATCAGATGAGGCTGAACCTTAGCCCACCCAGATGAGTCTAATTTTGATCTTTGGCCTCCAGCTTCATCAAAGCTAACTCTGAGCTCCTGAAATGTCACAGTTGCCACCCACACACCAAATAATGGATAGCTACAGATGCTACATGCCTGTCTCAAGAGATAACAACTAAAGTCATCATAAAGTTGGTAGTTTAGTCTTCCTCTCCAATTCCTCCTTGCGTGGGCCTCTCTGAACTGTCTGGAGAGCTCTCGGCATAGAAGGCAACCTACAGAATGTGTGCTGTGGTAACACGCATGGTCAGTCCCATGTGTCGTCCCACTGCTTGTGCACAGATCAGTAGCATGCCACATGTGCTACCTGTGCAGCATGTCCTGTATTTGTTCACTAGCATCTGCTGGCGAGGAATCTCCTACTCTTCCTGGTCTCATCCCTAAGACAGCATGATCCTCCAAAGCAGTCACAGCCAGCCTGGTTTGAATGTCAAGCTCCTTTCCTCTGGTGCCCTTGCCTCCTTCTACTCCTTCCGCCCCTCCTCCTACTTCTTTTCTGCAACACATTTCCTGTTGTTTCTCTGCTGCTTTACTTAGTAGGAACATCACACATGTCTAGAATCTGCAGGCAAATCTCTATCATGGACCTCTTGTGAGACCACCCTCATGGCCCTCTCTCTGTTCCCTCTTCTGATCACTGCTTTGTCTATTTGGACTGTCTTTTCTCCAGTGTGTTTTCAAGTGCCACTTGTAGATACTCTCTGTTGTAAAGGTCAGGGAATATGGGAGCTCTGGGTGCCTCCTCTAGTGATATATGTAGCTCCCAGATGGCCCAGGTTATTCATAAGTACTCATATTATGATAGTGCCACAGGGTACCAGTCAGGACCAGTGAGCTGCTGTGGTAGGTACTATGCCTATTTAAATAAAAACAGCCTTCTCGCCTCTCATCAGCACCAAATTAGTCTACAGTCAGTGCTCTGGACTTTTGCAAAAGCCTTATGAGACACCAGAGTCTGGAGCTCTCTTCAGAGATGCCCTACACTACTTCAAAGCATAGAACAGCATATAAATGGGGAGGTCTCCCTTCCAAAATCCCTTACTCAAAAATCAAGTTGTTTGACTAGAAAACACACAACCCTTTCTATGTTTTACCATGTCACTTAGGTTATCCAGTAACATGAAGGTGTCTGGCAAGAACACATTTTTTCCCTGTGTGATATGTCAACATGACTAGTACGTTGTCAGATTGGGGAAAAAAGGATCCGTCAGAGCCACTGTGCTCTGAACTAAGCTCTGTGGCTCATTTCAAATGTCTGTGGTTAGAAAATGACATGAAAGGCCTTTCTTTGCTAGCAAGAACATGATAATTTCAGCTCTCTCGAAATATAAAATTGTTAAGAAAGGTGGGTGGGAAAATCTGTATGGCCAGACTGAAGCTGCATTTGATAAGTACAAAAGGGAAGGAAATAACTTTGGATTTCAAATACACCCCATGCTTTCTTGCTTTGTCTTGCCTATTTTGATTACAAGCTCTTCAATGTAAGGAGTATTGCTTACTCTTTGTATTTGAGCAGTGCCCAATATATTGGCACTCCACCTTGCTGGGGGTATTCTGCCCCATAACAAATGAACAACAAAGAGGAATGAGTAACCATAGAGAAAAAAGCAAATCATGAGCATGAGACTTCTCTAAAAAAAGGCTGCCCCCACCCTGCCCCTTCACTGGAGAATGTGCTAATCCCACGACGATAAATAATGACTGCCATGCATAACGTTACAGGATGCATAGTATGGTCCTCAGCCAGTCACCCCCCAGGGCTGCTGCAGGATGTCTTGAACGGCACAGGTTTATCAGCCTCCCTAGTGCTATTCATTACAGACACAAAAGATGCCATTTTATACCACCTGGAGGAATCTTTATGGCCATTATATGGCCATATGAGTCCTATGTGTTGTTTGTATTCAGCCGAGCAAGGAAGTTCCCACTTGTAGTTAATCTGGCCTCTCACCAGGAGGGTTACTGATGAAAACTGCATGCAGTTACTACCCCATGACTGTTTTGTAGCTTTTCCTCATGAACTGGCAGTCCTAACACAAAGGACCATCCTTGCAAATCGCACGATTGCTGGACATCATAGTGAAAGAGTCACGGGTGGAAGGGATGCAGAGACTGAGCTTACACTTGGAAATGTAGCCCCTGCTAGCCTGGGTAAGACACGGAGCTGGGATGGCCTGTGACACTGCCTGCACTATGGACACGGCGCTTCAGAGGCAGCAGGGCTGCAGCAAGTCATGAGCATCCCCAACCCTGAGATTCTTTTCTCCCCAGAAAAGAAACTGAACCCTTATTCATTTTCCTGGCAGGTTCCTGCCGCCAGTGAGGTGCCTCCCTACATGTGCACTAACGCCCCAGATCCCCGGGCAGCCACAGCAATACAAACTTTAATTTCTTTGTGAAAAACAATCCTCATAACTCTGGCCCAAGCAGATGACCAGATCTGAAGGCTGGTGGTCCAGCCGTGGCACTGGCACACAGAATGTGAATGACAGGTGGTAGTAAGAGCTCACCAGGGATGTGCTGGTGTGCGAGCTGGATGGGGGAGACAAAGACCATGTCCTTCAGCGGCTGGGGACAGCAGAACGCACTAAGTTCTTTGTGCTGGGATTTACCCGTTATCATCCTAAGCGAAACACTAATGAATGAGGAAAGGCAACAGCGGCCTTTTTGACGAAGGAAATTCATGTGTCACTGCAAAATGCTTCAGTCAGGTGCGAGATGAAATTTCATGTAAATCCATGTCTGTGGCACAGAAGCTGCTGTTTGACGTGTAGTGGAACCTCCATCCTGACTCCTTATCAGAGAGCTGCCCTTCCTCTGGGGCTGGTTTTGACAGTGCCTGTCCTGCTAACTGACTGAGGATCAACCGTGGTTTGAGCACCTGAGCTATTAAATGCGACATGGCTATCTTGTGCTTTTCCTTCTTATATATTACAGAAGAAGGATCTTAAACATACCCTAAATGTCTCTTCCATTTAGACTGGAAGTTTGTTTAGGACAGAGATGAATTTATTTGCTATATATGTGTATAAGACTGGGGTCCTGCCATCCTTGCTGCAGGGGCAGACATGGTCAGGAGAGGGATGGCTGGGAAAGGTAATATGGCTGTTGGTCAAAGCCTAATTCCGTGTGGATTATGACTCACAGCCCTTTGCTGCAGCTGTTTTTAAGCATGATTATATCAGGCAGAGCTGTGGGCCTCTGCTGCTAGGAATTTTTTTTTTTTCCATAAACGTCCATTTTCTTTCCGATCAGCCCGGCTGTGCAAGGGGCTGCAATGCCTCTGCAGTTTTCAAACCTCACCTCCAGGGAAGGGCAGAACTGCTTGTGAGTGAACCGATTTAAATACAAGCAGGCTCAAACCGTCCATACCAAACATGTTTCAATTTTGCCTCATGTAAGTGCCCCCCTGAACCATGTCAGAAGCCATGTCCTTTGCCCACACACCCGGCATAGCTTCAGGAATGACAGAGCTTGAGGGATTTCACAGGGTCTGTGGTGTTTCATGAGACAAGAACTGCTGCTTTTCTTAGATATGCTGCAAACCAAGGTGAGCCTTCATGGTGCTGGTGCGCAAACAGACCCTGCTGGCAAGAGCTTCATCTAAACATCCTCGTCCCTAGTATTAGGGTTGAGGTGTCTGACTGTAGCCTGAAGGAGACATCACCAATTTGAAGTCAAGGGAAATCCAAAAAGCCAGTAATTAAAATGATCCAGGCACCAAGCCCAACTCTGAGACCCTCCTCTCTACAAGGCATTTTTCTCATTATATGGAAAACATTTCTTCCACATCTGACAGAACGATGCTTGTTCTCTCCCTTCCCCCCACAACAGGCAGAAACGACTCACGAACTAACTGTGCTGTCAGATGTACAAAGTAAACAAACAAAACCGCCCTGATTCTTCTCCCTTTTTTTTTTCCCCGAGATAAAAATGTCGAGCAGTACTTATAAAGATTATTAGATAAAAAGAGAAACACAAAGGTACGGATTTTAAGATGTCCTCTGAAACCAAGCAGTTCTCAAATAAATGTGAATCTCCACCTTTTAAAATGTTTCTAGTAGCTGCGATTGATGGCAATTTGTGGCCATTAATGTCTTTGGAAGGAGTGCTGTTTATTTAATTATCATCACTTTTTTATTACAGGGTTATGGGAAAAAAACCT